TCGTCTGAAAATTTAAGGAAACCTAGTGAAATATCAGTCAGTTTTGCAATAGCAGCATCGGCATATTGTTGGGAATGACGTTATCAAAACTCTTTTTTCTGGTACTCAGGTTATGTTTCTATGGGCGCGCGTAAGATTAAATTCACTTGTTGATGAAAATGATTAAAAGCTGGAATAGGGTAAAGTGACCATTGTCTTTAAATACTTTACACTTGCTTATATCATATTAAAACATGAAATCCTATTTCGCGTTTCAAACTACACCATCATAATTCTCGCACGAATCACAATCATAACAAAAATGAAGAAAAAGAAGAAGAAGAAGAAGAAGAAAAAGAAAAAAAAAAGATCCTAATTACTACAACCTCCCCCTCTCCTCCTCCCTTCTCCTTCTCGTAACCAGGTGATGACAACGTGTTTCGGAGAAGACCTGTTTTTCGGCCTCATTAAGACCTTTAATGACATCTTGCGCGAGTGTTCCCAGAAGGAGTTTGACTTCGAGGATGCCCCGCCCCTGGACTACGTTGCGCTCTTTGTGGGTATTTATTCTGTGCCGAGTTAATTTTTTTTTTTTTTTAATATGTGTATTGCGTTGTTGTTATTGTCTTTGTTTGTGATGTTGTTGGTGCTGCAGGTGTTGGTATCATTATTGTTATTATGATAATAATGATAAGAACGTTGACAAAAATAATGATAACGATAATGATTATAATAATAATCATAGTGACGAAGATGATGATGCTAATGATGATGATGATAATAAAAATTATTATTATTATTATTATTATCATTATTATCATAATTATAATAATCATAACGGTAATAATGATAATTACACTGGCAATGGCAAAAATAATGATTATGGAAACTGAAAATACAAGTATTGAAAATGACAACAAGAACAACAACAATGACAACATCAACGACACCAGCAATAATGACAAATATAAAAGCATCCTTAATGATAAAATATCATGACAATAATGAGAGTGATGAAGATGATGATATTGCTAACCACTTTGATGACAATAGATAAAATACCAACAAATGATTAAGAAAAAAAAAAAATATTCAGTACTAGTAATAAGGATAATGGCAGCTCTGATACCAAAGCCAATAATGAATAACCAATAACCACAACAATAATAACGAAGTCCATACTAACAGGACACACTGGCGCGCAATGGTCTCCGCCCTCAACCTCTGCCAGTGTCCCAGCCTCCTCTCTCTCCTGTAAGTGCTCGGTGAAGCTTATCCCGTGAGATTATATATATATATATATATACATATATATATATATATATATATATATATATATATATATATATATATATATATATATATATATATATATATATATATATGTATGTATGTATATATATATATTTATATATATATATACATATATATATATATATATATATATATATATATATATATATATATATATATATATATATATATATTTATATATATATATATATATATATATATATATATATATATATATATATATATATATGTATGTGTGTGTGTGTGTGTGTGTTTATTTAGTGAATTGCACCGTACCCAGAGAGATTACTAGTTATAGAACTGTTCGAGTAAAACATCAAAGTCCTAACATTCTAGTTATCCTTTAAAGTAATGGGCGGACTATGAAAGTATAGATTGAAAAATATGTATAATTTTAATAAATAATGCAAATCTCTGCTAAAGTTGCCGTCTTTGAGAAATAGCATGAATAAAATTAACCGGACAGTAGTTGCAGCTGATATGTATACATAAATATATATATATATATATAGATAGATAGATAGATAGATAGATAGATAGATAGATAGATAGATAGATAGATAGATAGATAGATGGATAGATAGATAGATACAGATATAGATATAATACAGATTTTTCTGAAATTTGAGTATTGTCGCGCGCCCATTACACGATTTGAAATACGCGGTCGTAATGCACGGCCCGTTTTCTATGACACCGCGCAACGCCAATCCCCGACTCACTTCCTGCCTTCTTTTGAGTCCACCTTCAAAGTGCTTTATTATCTCAAAGTAAGATGCGTCATTAGCTTACATGTGCCCTATATATACATAAAGTGTGTAATGATACCTTTGTTGCACACCGGAACAAAAATACTGGAATTTGAAATAGTCAGAGACTCCGGCACGAATATTCAAGAGGTCCGTCCCTAATATGGGTGGCGGTAGTTTGGGGGCGTGAGTGGGCTGGAGTGGCCGAAAAGGAGTTATACCCATTTCCAGATTCGTAAATAGGTTATTTATCCCCGCGAATTTAAAAACTCCCTGACGAAAAAAAAAAATAGAGAGCGGGCGAGGCAACAATCCTGAGCCTTCTTCCTACTGTGTCAGCGATTTTCACCCTTCCGCACTCACGCCTTAGAGGGGCAAATATGACGCCTTGTATTTTGACATTACTAATTGAAATGGATCACAGGAGGATAAAAGTGCCTTATTATAACAGTTTTTTT